CCTGGATGACGGAGAACCTTCACCAGCATGTAGAACTAATAAATAAGACAAAATCCCTCAGTCCCCCACGGTCTGCCATGCCCAGTTAAAATTACCTTTCTTAATAAAAATACAACTTTATTACATATTGAATTGAACCAGAAAAACAGGTCCAACCCTTAGGGCATGACCCAGTGCCGCATATAAATAGTTTAGTTTGTTCTTATTTCTCCATTAGCTAAGCTCCTTGTTTGGCATTTTAAAAATCGGAAGCAGAAATAAACATATTGTTGAACATTTTTTAAACAGACCTCAGGTAATCTAATTTCATTATGATGTATGAGGGTTTTCTGCACCTCAGCTTCTTAGAAGAGAATGAGATGATAAAAAAAAAATAGAAAACATAATATTGAGCTGATTTATATTCCAACTTTATTAAAAATTCAGTGCTGTGGGGGAGTAAATGACAATATCAGTGCATAATGATGATTTGCACAATCATCACTTTTCAGCATGTGTGAATATATCCAGAACAAGTGGTTCTGCATTGTGTTTTACAATCTCTTGTAATCTGAAGCTGCATAATTAAGCACAACATCTTACGTTCAGTTGCCGTGATCAATGGCTTGCTGGAGGCTGCAGCAAAAAAACAATATATATAATCAGCAGTAGACAAGTACGCTATGTATATTACAAATTAAAATCTTAAAAATATAGCTGTAAGCTCAATTATGTAATGATCCAAACCATTTTCTTTCATAGATAAAGTCCCAAGCACAGTTCTGCACTGGAGATAAACGCAATGTCTGTGAATGGAAAATCCATATTTAGGCAGAACTCTGTCAGATATACATAAATACTTTGTGTATATTTTAATCTCAACCATAAGTGAAAATGGTAATTCACAATAATCGTAAAATTTTAAAACTTTTTTCCAACTAATTAACAACTCAACATTTCATTTAGATATTTTCAGTTCACTGGAATGGGGAAAAAAAGATCAAAATAAAAAAAAAATAAATAAAAAAAAAGGCGTAATTCCACAGTAACATATTTACACTGGATTTATACAGTTATCCCTGTAGAAATAATATTAATGATAGTTAGGTAGCTAGATGAACATAATATTCAGCTGAGCAGCAGATTCATAAATACAAAAGCTTTACAAAAACAAATAGCTCAAAATAATCACATCACCACAGCTCTGAACAAGAGGAAAATTCAGGAAAATCTTACATTTTTTATTTTCATTATCTGCTACACAAAGTCAAAAGTGCTTTGATCTTGCTGATGTAAAGTCTGAAATAAGTTTATTTCTGCTTCTGTATTTCTGTATATAAAACTATAACCAGGAGTTTATCAGATTTTTCTACCACATAATATGTAATAAAGTTGGAGTATAAATCGAAATAAATATAATGTTATCTATTTTGATGAGTTCTGATCATGAACTTACATTTAATTACAAATATTATTTAATTACAAATATT